CAAGCTGTTGCCCTGGATAGAGTGCAATGGAATCACAGCTTACAGCAACCTCCAACTCCTGGGCTCAAGCGAGTTTCCTGCCTCCACCTCCCAAGTAGCTGGGATTACAGGCGCCCACCACAACGCCCAGCTATTTTTTGGTTGTAGCCGTCATTGTTGTTTGGCGGGCCCAGGCTAGATTTGAACCCGCCACCTTGGGTGTACATGGTTGGTGCCTTAGCCACTTGAGCCATAGACACCAAGCCCCTAATTTGATTTCTTGTGGTGGTTTTTGGGTTTTTTTGCTTTTGTTTTTGTGGGGTTTTTTGAGACAGAGTCTCACTTTGTCATCTTGGGTAGAATGCCGCCGTGTCTTCATAGTTCACAGCAACCTCAAACTCCTGGGCTCAAGCAATCTTCTTGCCTTGGCCTCCCAAGTAGTTGGGGGTATAGGTACCTGCCATGATGCTTGGCTAGTTTTTTCTATTTTTAATAGAGACAAGGTCTCGCTCTTTCTCAGGCTGGTCTCAAACTCCTGAGCTCAAGCAATTAGCCCACTTCAGTTTCTCAGAGTGCCAGGATTATAGGCATGAGCCACTTCAGCTGGGTTCTTAATATGTTTTTGAAAAGTGAAGGTGGGTATATATATATATATGTCACCCCTGATAGAGTGCTGTGGGGTCATAGCTCACAGCAACCTCCAATCTTGGACTTAAGAGATTCCCTTGCCTCAGCATCTCAAGTAGCTGGAACTACAGACACTTGCCACAATGCCTGACTATTTTTTTGTTGTAGTTGTCATTTTTGTTTTAGCAGGCCCGGGCTGGGTTCCAATCTGCCAGCCTCAGTGTATGTGGCTGGCACCCTAACCACTGAGCACGGGCACCAAGTCTCAAGGTATATTTTTAACAAAACAATACTGATGAGGATTTTTCCCTGAAAGGAACAACTCTTGTTTCCCCATCTTTGAAAATAAGGAATTATTTTCGGTAGTGCTTGGTAGTTATCATTTTCTGGAACATAATTTAACATTCCCATCTCTGCCCCTTTGAGCTGATTGTAAGAATGCCTTTATCTATTGGCTTCTAAGCCAAGAATGATCTTGACAGGTCATGTAATTTACCCCATTTTTTCTAGCTATGTTCACACTAAAAAAAATATTCCAGGCTCGGCGCCTATAGCTCAACCGGCTAAGGCGCCAGCCACGTACACCCAAGGTGGCAGGTTCGAATCCCCAGCCCGGACCCGCCAAACAACAATGACGGCTGCAACCAAAAAAATAGCCGGGCGTTGTGGCAGGCGCCTGTGGTCCCAGCTACTTGGGAGGCGGAGGCAGGAGACTCGC